CAACACCACCTTCTCCGCAATATCACAACGCTGCTACAACAAAAACAACCACATTTCCAACTCATACGAGGATTTGTGGTGCTGACTTTGTGAAACGCAGGTGACCAAGTGAAGTCAGAGCTAACATCTACTCCCTCCCTAAGGGGCACATCTCAGACAGGGGGCACACAGGCTAACACAAGGGGACAAGCCACACAGCATTGCTCAGCAGGAACACTGAGCTTTGCTGACAGATATCTCACCCAAAATACATCCTCAATCTTTCTAAACCAAAACTGTCTTACCAGTTCTGATCAGCCCGTCTCAACCCTAGTCCACTACATCCCAGGGCCCACAACTCTGATCAAAACGGCAGAATGTTTTGGCCCAATTCAGGCCTATTGCCCCCAGCCCTAACGAGAGGTCTCCTCTGGACACTACAGGCAGCACTATTGAGCCTTACACCATCCCTGGGGTACTTCCCAGCTCTAATTTCCCTATCATTTCTGCGGGAAAAATAAAATATCAGCACCAAAGTCTGTCAGTGACCAAATCTGACTATTGCAAAGCTGGAGGGACACTCAAAACACAGAACCCTTCTGGAGACACCCTTCTGGCTGCAGATGCACCGGGCCCTTGCAAGGACCCACCACGTTCAACTCAAAACACTTTCGAGCATCTTTCTAAGAGGTTCATGCAACATTATAATTCTTAACAAGAACAAGGAAGAAGAGAACGATAAAACCAAGAACCCTGAGTAAATATCTGCCCAAACACTCTGCTCAGTCTGACAACTCTTTTTATTGCAAACTAAAAAGATTCTTGGGACCATCATGGGAGAACCTGCCCAGGTTTTTTTCCCTTTTTCAGATGTGTTAAATAACAAATTAACAAATGAAGAGGGCAGCCGAAGTGCAACTTGTCTATAAACCATGAAGCAACCTGAACTCATTTTCAGCCGCATCTCTCACTGGCCCTTCTGGGGCTAGTTTTACACTACAGATATTTATCATCAAGTGCAGTTAACGTGGGGCAGGTAAAGATCTCTCTCTGACACCACTGTGCAGATAAAAGCTCCAATTTAGGAGCAGAGATAAAAACACAAAATTTCCTCATTTGAATATACATAGTATTAAGTTGCTACTCRCGCTTAGAGGAAAGCGAGCAAAAAAAGAGTTTCCAATAATGATCATTAACTCTGTCCTGTCCTCTATGAGGGGGCAGCTGACTTAAATAACAAGACAAGATTTAGTATTTACCCTCCCTCTTCCAAAGAGAAAAAAGTCCCTCTAAGCAACCTGTTTCCAGACCCTGTAAAATTAGGCTCTAAGGAGCTCCAAAGCTGAGGAAAGTCCCTTATTCTCTTTAACACAGGGAGGGATCCCTTTCAACTAGCAGAAATCAACAGGAGCACTGATCCTATTCAAACCAACACCTGCTAGGCAGGACATAACGACAAGAGCCGACATATTCCCCAGTGTCTCAAAGATACTCACGTTTCTTGCTCTGCTTCTCCACTTCTGCCTTTAGCCTCTTGTATTTGTCTGTCCGGTAAACCAACACCCACGTTATACCTGGAACAGACACCCGCCATGTCAGCGGGCCGGGGAAACGTTGCAAGAAACGACGCGCAAGGTAAAGGGCGAGACACGAACAACGAGTGGGGGGCGCGGTGTTCGCGAGGAAGGCAGCGAGGGCCGGGCCGCGCCCCGCCGCCGCGCTCACCCTCGGCCAGCAGCGCGGTGCACACGGAGATGAAGACGATGAGGAGGGTGTCGGCGAACATGGTGCTCATGGCGCCGCGGCCCCGCGCCCCGCGCCGCCGCGCACCCGGAAGCGCGCCCGCACCCCGGAAGCCACCGGGGCACTCATCGCCTAGCAACAGCCGGAAGCAGCGCCCCGAGCTTCCGGGGGAAGGTGGCCGCCAAACGGCGGAGGAGCAGGCAGAGGGGAGGGGGAGTTAAAAGTGAGCAGATCGTGTTCTGATTGGGCGAGCGGGCCGTCATATTGACGGGACAGGCGGTGGCCCCACCTCTTCCGGTTCCCGCGGAGGTGACGGCCTGGTGCTGGAGGGGGAAGCCTGTCATGGCGGGCGGGGCGCTGAGCTCGACCGTTTTCACGGCACCTGGGGGCGCTGGAGCGCCCGGCGAGGCCCCCGCGCGCCCGCCCGGGGCCTTTGGAGCCCCCTCGAGGGGTCCCGCCGCCCTGGCCCGGCTCAGCGCTGGGCTCAGGAGCCCCGGCAGGGGCAGTGCAAGGGGGTGGGTTTAGCAGAAGTACTGCCCGAGTGCACTGAGGCCCTAGAGACTTGAAACACCCACTTACAGGCAGTTATGTGCAGCTATATAGTGCTCTGTGTAGATGCATGGATACAACTGCAGTTGCAGCTGGAGCACTGAAGCTACGTGAAGCCCTTACGCTTAAATAGGGTTTAAGGAGACTTGGAAAGCAGAAATGCAGGAAAAAAAAAAAATGAAATCGCGCAGGCAGAGAAGAGCAGTTTTTATGCGTGTGTTTGTGTTATGTGTAGCATGAATTTGCAGTCGGTAAAGACCAATAATTGACTGTGGAATTATACATGTGGAAGAAATGAGTGAAGAGTAAGAGAAACAAAAAAAAAAAAGACGTGGAGTTGCCCATAAGTTAAATATGCCACTTGCAGTGACAGCGATGAAATATGGTCAAGTAATAACGGGGGTGTGAAATTAGATAAGTGAGGGTGTGTGATTAGAGGGCACACGAGTGCTCGGGTGGCTGGTGACGTTGGCGGACGAGGAAGCGCGGCAGCCCCGCGCAGGTGGCSGTGCCGCGAGGCAGGCCGTGCTGGGAAGCTCCTGATAAGCAGCCCCCAGCAGCTGAGGCAGTCCTGCCCCTGTCGTGACCTGCTTCGAGGCACGGGAGCTTTGCAGGAGATGGGGTAGAGCTGAGGGCCGTAGCTGCCTGCAAGCAGTTGGGGTGCTGYGCTTTGATCCACGTGTAAAGGACGGATAGAAATGATTTACGGCCTGATTGGATCTAGCAGGGCTGAGACGGGCAGAAAAAAAAAAAAAAAAAAAGGAAAAGTCTCTATAATGTGTAGCTCTGCGTATATGTTATGAGAATTATGAGCCATTACAGTCTGTAAAAAGTTTAGAAGGGCAAACGTGGAGGTAACCTCTGAAACCAGATCAGAGAGAAACTTGTTGAAGTGCTTCGTCTGTTGAAGCCTCTGGATTTAAACCAAACAGAAGATGAAATTGCCCAGTGTGTTAGYAGTGGGAAGGAGAGAGCAGGTCTCAGTTATGTTTTGATGAAAAAAAATGTCAGCTAAACTTAACTGTCACTTGAGCTTGGTGTGTTTTTGCTTGGCTACTCTGGTTTGGAAAGAGCCCTTCATCTGATCTGCTGGGGTTGGTTGTGTCCTCGTAAATAAGCCTTGAATACGCCCAGCTGTTGCCCCCAGGACAGAAGCACAGCAAGATGTGCTTCTCCTCCCATCCCCAAGTGTGTCTGCTGCTCCCACCTGCTGATCGTGTGGGTTAAAAAAGGGGGGAGTTGGAGAGGAAATGCTGTGTTGGGCATCCCGTGGAGACTCTGGGCTCGAAGGAGAGCACGGTGTGACCTGTCTTCAAACAGGGCAGCCACAAGCTGGTTGCAGTGAGCATAGGTACGAGGAGGACCAGGTAAGCCGAGGTTCGCTGTGCCTTGGTTGGGTTTTGCCTCTGAGCTGCAGGTGAGTCAGCGTGTGGGCAAGAAAGATGAGCTTCRAACAGCCGCTCAGGCCTGGTGCTGTGCTCAGCAACCGTGCCCACAACCCGGGCCCCAAGACTGGCCTGGCACCTCGGCAGCTCCCCTGGAATTCACCCTCACAGGGAGTTCTTGTTGCTGCCTCCGCGTGCACCATCCTCGCCTGGCACCGTGGTGAAACGGGCACACAGCGACGGGACGCGCCGATGGAGCAGAGCAGGGGGGCAGAGAGGCGCCGCATCTCCCGGGAAAGTCTCTCCTCCCGTGCCGCAGGATGGAGGCTGGGGTTGGGGACCCCCCGGAACCGTTTCCACAGCCGGGTGACCACGTTGGGCTGTGTTAAATGCTCAGCGCTCGCGTGGACGGTGCTGGGAGGGCTCGTGAGGCATCACTCAGGCCCCAAAACACCATCAGCTCTACCCAAGGCTTTCAGCACAGCAGCTTGCTCTGTGTCTTAAGAAAAATCTCAGTGGAGAGTTTTTATTCTCTTCAAACCACGTATGCTGCAGCTCTCATACCCTCACCCTTCTGAAGGGGCTCCCTGGCGTTGCCCTTGTTGCAGTTAACGCCGGACACTTCTTGTTCTCCCGCCCAGGGGMGAGAGAAAGGGGTTCCCGGCCTGTTTGTGGCCTGAAGGTGTTACTGYGTGTCCCCTCAGCCCTAGATGAAACACACGTGCTTCCTGCAGGCCCTGCCATGGTCTCCCGCGGTCCTGTGCCCGAGGAGTAGCTTCCACCCGGCCTCATCCTGCTGGGAAYGGTCACCCCGGACGTGCTCTTACTGCGCACACAGCTGCTGCGTTAACATCCTGGTGGGATGTTTGCTCTTCAGGGCACTGTGCTGTTGGTGGCTCTTTGATCCGCCTGCTTCCCAGGAGATCTGCATGTGTGGGAGGCCAGCCCGCAGCTCCCGACCTGGGCCCCCGTGATCCCCGACCCGGGCGCCCGTGATTACCCGCCGCCGGCTGCTCCCACCCAAGCTCCGTGCGTGCTCTGCTCTGCAGGGCGCTTTCCCCATCCCCGACTCCAGATCCCGCACAGCCCCGCTCCGCTGCCAGGCGCCGCTCGTGGGCAGAGGGGCGCGCGTGGGGCGCGGGAGCGCCGCGCCGTCCCGAGCGTGTGCAGCTGCGGCAGGCGCCTGGCAGCGAGCCGCGGCGCTGGCGATGAGGCGGGCGGGGAGGAAGGCCCTTGACTCATCACATAAATCCAGCCCCGCGAGGAGAGGAGGAGGAGGAGGAGGGCGGCAGGAAGGCGAGCGCGCGGGAGGCGGCGGCGCTGGAGGAGGCAGAGGAGGAGGAGGATGGCGGGGGACAGCGAGCAGCGGCTGGAGGAGCAGGGGCAGCCGAGCGGCGGGGAGCCCTTCCTCATCGGCGTGAGCGGCGGCACGGCCAGCGGCAAGGTGGGGGAGCGCGGCCAGGCCCGGCCGC